CACAATCCCTGGATATACAGTCAGTAATTCAGAGAGATGTTTGAACTGGCAGAACTACCTGTTCCCTGTGGGTGGAGGGGAATTATTGAACAGCTGCTTCTTGGAGAACAGAGAGCTGAGAGATTTCATGGGCAGAGATAAAGAACATCCATATTCCATTGACGGTTTTGAGTGAGCCGTTGAAACATTTGGCAAAAGGATTGTTTCCATCTGCAATTATATCCTGGTCTAAAGACGGTTGAGGCGTGGGCATTCCATGCAGAGACGGTGCCGATTATCTTTTGATTGGTCTCTGAAGGATAGGTCAACGTGTAAGAATTCAGGAAATTATTCTCTGCATTATCCTTGTAGAATTGGGAAGGGAAATTTCCAACTACCACTGATCATTATGAAAAGCAAGAATGCGGGTTTTCTTCTCCTGGTTTTAAAGCTTTAGTTCTTCCTCCAGGCAGGACAGGAGAAGAAGGGAAACTCTCAGAAACTTTTCCTTGCCTCTAGTGAGTATATATACACGCCTCCTTGGGTGTGAAAAGTCCAGAACCTTCTAAAATGTAGCTTCCCTTCCAAACCCCCAAGTGCTTACCTTAATTAAGGTTCTTGAACTGTTTATTTTATTTCACAGCTCTTCTGCAATTGGCTCAGCTGTGTCCACTGTGAGGTTAAACGTTCTGCTCTACCAAATTCTTAACTTTTGTTCTGCTTTGTTAAAGAAACCAAATTGCTTTCGGCAATGCATTTCTTTTTATTTATTTATCAAATTCAGTTGGTGCCCATCTTACCACAAGGAAATGCATAATGACAAGGAGCAGCGCTTGCGCAGAGGTCCTTGTTTCAAGGACCGTTAAATGTCTATAAATGCACACAGTTCTCCTTACTGTCTTCTATGATTTTTGGGTATTTGTTATCCCAAGTAGAGCTTCCTGGTTTCTGAGCATGGAAGGGAGACGTAAAGGCTTGTTTGCAGATGTTTCAATTTTAGACTAATAGCACTGGACGTTGCTGGGTATTTCTAGGTCAGGATCTAATTGGAAGCTCTAGCAAAATCAAAATGGGAAGGTTAACTGAAAATTATCTGGCTTTCCATGTTGGCAACCTGGAGCCACATGTCGAGATGACTGACCTACAGATCATGTTAGAGAAGTGTGAAGGAGATGTGGCTCCCCTTACAAACGGTGTTCAGAAGGCACGAAATGCTCTACCTGAACGTTCATGGGAAAGACCATTAATCCTACCAGGATATGAACAGGACCAGGTTCACTTCATGTGAGGATTGCTTGATGTACTTTCAGCAGTTAACCTGTGAATTCTGGATCTGGAGAACATAATGGCCTCTTTGCACAGAAATCTCTCTCTCTCTCTCTCCATAAACAGAGAAAACTAATAAGAAAGGGAGGGCTGCTTGGTTTTTCCTTGGGTTTTAAAGTTGGGTGTATATATAGTTCGAATCTCACCAGGCTCCAGGTTGTTCTGACCCAAATCCTTTTCCAATAAAACAAACAATAATCAAAGGGAACAGAAACCTTTTAATGAGTCTTACGAATCCCTGGTTAAAAGGCTGCTGCAAACTAATGAACTTTGATAAGCACAAACCTCGCCAAAACTGTACAAGACTGCCAAGAATCACAGATAAGAAATATTTCACAACACAAGAGCCTTTAAATACCAACTTGAGATACTGTAATGTCCATGAGACTGAGTTTCAAAATGTCTTTGCCTTCTGCAAAGTACGTTCATTTCACAGCTGGCTTTTATCCTCTTGAGGGAGGGGCCATTACCTTGCAGCCTTACTCCCGAGTCACCCGTGCTGCTGCAGCTGCTCTTTCCTGCGAGCAACCCTGCACACACATGCACTTGGCACAGGCTCCTCGGGAACCTCCTCATCACTGCTGCCAGCCCCCACAATCTCTGAAGGCAGCAGTCTACACCCTGATGGTCCTGGGCCCTCATCTGAGTCCTCACTGTCCTCAGCCATCTGCACCTGCTGCCGGCTAACCACAACACAGGTTGACTCAGCCTTCCATCCTTCCGAGGAGGGAAAAATGAGGGCCCAAATTGTTGGGGGCAAAAGGCTGACTGTGTAAACCGCTTAGAGAGGGCTGTAAAACACTATAAAGCAGTATATGTCTAAGTGCTATTGATATACCCAACTATATCTATATAGCACTATCATATCTCTATCTGTCTGTCTGTCTGTCTATCTATCTATCTATCTATCTATCTATCTATCTATCTATCTATCT